TGGGTTCTTCTTTTAAAGATAATTGGCTATAATTAGAAAACTGCGTTTCAGTTGTCAGCGTTCACATGACCATACCGAGCGTATGTACAGCTAAAACTTTTACATTGAACGTTTCCACATATTCGATATATATTCGGGATATTTCGTGCTATAATATACAAATAGCATGTGTCTTAAATTTGCAATTATCAACTTCAGATCTGCAGGGAGGTATAGGTCCACCACATTTAAACTAGTTGAACACAATCAAATTATGCTAAGTATTTAAAAAAAAATTTTTTTTGTTTGGTTATTTTGACTTATAGAAGAAAGACGTTTTCTCAAAAACTATTTAACCAATTGGCACAATTCTTGAATAAGGAATCATGGGAAATCCGGGACTATAATCTTCATTTCAAGCATTTTTTCAATTATATAAAGGGTTTTCAATTAGGGCAAAAATCCCAAAAACCCTGAGAGAAACTCCGGGAGAAAATTAATAGCCGTAAATCAAAATTTCTTTATAAAGTTCTGTAGGCAGCTTCATGAGCTACAATTTTTATTTTTGCGGTTTTCGTCTATCACACACGCTTTTCGAGATATTTCAAAAAAGTCAAGTGGAAGTTGCTGGATCTCGCACTCAACATGGACGGGATGATTTCATTTACAATTACGACGTACTGCATGGTTTCAGAAAACAAGTATTTTTTCCAAAACCATTAACTCTATTGTAAAAATTTATACACCGGGAGAAATTTCAAACATTGTTTGAATTATATGCAGGATGTGTCGTTTATGGGTAAAAAATCTAAAAGATCCTAAAAATTTCGGTTTTTGTGGATAAATTATTGGCCATAAATGAAAAACTGTTAAAGATGAGATAACTTGGTTTGAACAGTATCTTAAACTGCATCAGTTCCTGTTTTGTCTGCACATCCAATAAAAATTAAAATTTCAATCCACTGAGTTTCATTTAGATGCCCCATATTGACTTTCTTTACTGATAGAAACGTAATTGTAAAAATTTGAGAACTTTACTGGTACTAGCTACTTAGAGATAGGCATAGGGTATTCCACATGAATTATGCGTGAAAATTGACATATAATTCCAAAATGGATTTAAAACTATTTTTCGATTTAAGGAACGAACTTGGCATCGACCTCTACTTTTTGACCTATTTACTGTAAAAAATTATGCTGGAAGTGTGCGAGAATTTTTATTAAAATCCAATACCTGATTTTTAAATGAATTTGTTGCATATTTAAGCCGTCCACTGTATCTATCGATTTTTCCGAATGGAAACTTTTACAAGGCCTTTGCCGCCATGAGTTGCTTAAACCAATTGAAACTTTGTCAAATAATTTTTGGGCTATTGACAGTTTGGTTGATTTATTTCAAAAAAAATTAGCATAAAGTTATAATTTAATAATATAATATATTATAATAATATAATATAATAGTTTAATAATATAATTTAATATAATATATATTTTAAATATACGAGCCAATAGCAAAATTTATATAAGTACAAAAGTACACAGAACAAAAGTATATAACAACAGAACAATTATAAAAGAAAAATCAGAATAATTTCAGACAATACATAAGTTTTAATTAATCTTTTAAAAGCATTTAAATTATCACACTTCTTTAATATTTCTTGCTAGCCTGTTAAACTCTAACAAACCTTTATTTAAAATGGTATTCAACATATGTGTAGTTTTACAGCGATTGACTAGGATGAAATCAGTACGGTTTCTAGTGTTATAGTAATGAACATTCTTAAAGTAATTAACCCTATTACCAATATGTGGCGGCATCATTTTATTTTTTATTTTAAATATAAATATAAAGGCATCAAACATTACTTTTTGCTTTACAGTTAATATTTGTAACACATTTAACATAGTCATCTCAGGTGAATATCTATTACCCGTTACAATTGTGCGCATTGCTCTGTTTTGTATTTTCTGAAGTTCTGTTAGTCTATAGTTAGCTAAACTAAACAATAAAGTTGAACAACATTGCAAATGTGGCGCCGCCAAGCTATTGTAAAGTAACAATTTTGTATAACTTGTTAAATTTTTGCCTGCTCCAGATATGAAACCCACCTTTTGTGAGAACTTTCTCATTATATAATCACTGCTTCAAAATTTAATTGTGGATCTAATACAATTCGCAAATATTTTATATGTTTCTCATAATACAAATTAACGCCATTTATATTAATATTAACACTCTCCAGATCTACACCACTCAATCTATGTTTTTTGCCATACAAACAGAACTTCATGACATTAATGGTAAGATTATTATTGCACAGCCATAGGAACACTCGATAGAGGTCATCATTGATATCTCGCTGCATTTCTTCGATATTCCTACCAACGATACATATTATGGTATCGTCGGCAAATAATGTAATTTTGCTGTTTTTCACAACTTGAGCTAGATAATTAATATACAACATGATCCACCAAGATAGACTCAAACACAGATGACTCACACTTTACTTTTTGTATTCTGCCAGATAAATAAGATTTTAGCCAATCCAGGGCTAAGTGCTTTATACCCACATTTTCTAGCTGATCTATTAAAATATCCCTATTGACAGTCTCGAAAGTTCTTCTAAAGTCCAAAAACACAGCCAAAACAAACTATTGTCATCGACAGCCCCAACAAATTCATCACAGATACTAACCATCACAGTCTCGAAAGAATGTCCCGTTCGAAATCCCGATTGACTAGTGACAATTAAATTGTTTTCGTCACAATGTCTCTGCAGCTGCTCCTTTGCAACGAGTTCAAATAATTTCTCGTACACTGGCACAGTGTTGATCGGTCTAAAATTAGAATGCAGCTTAGTACCTGGAACCTTCGGCACTGGAACCACCAAAGATGATTTCCATTAATCTGGAAACTGCCCTTTAGAAAATGACGCGTTGATAATCCAATATTCGGTTTCCAACCACCGCAAAAGCATCCTCGAAGCCTCTTGTTGAAATGCCATATTCATCCCACCAACATTTTTCATTCCACGCACAATCCTTTTTAAGTGAACTAATGAAATGTTTTCAAACCTCACGGACTCCGTGACGCTGTGATTTTCCGTATACTGGTTTAGATCTAAACACATCAAATTGACGGATGGTCTAGTTATTGTTGTTTCGTAATCTTTTATATGCACTCCACGTCTCTGTAACGAACAGCCCTAACATAAATTTTATCTCTTTCTTTAATCATTTGCCTTATTTCATATGTTATCCATGCTTCATTTTTATATTGCTGCTTCCTTGTTGATTTTACTTTGGGACACATTGTATTTAGCATGGCAGTAATATCTTGTACAAATCTATTGGTAATCACATCAACATTTGAGAGCCAACCATCCCACTGAACCTTCAGTTTGAAACTGTTCAGCAGTATACTTTCCCCAGCACCATCTGAAAGAATCTATCACGTAATTTCTGGACAACTTCTTGATATCAATGGTTAAAATGCAATGATCGCTGATTTTTGGTGTCAAGTGTACTTTGTGCGCCAGGTTTTTTTCATTAGAGACATATAGTCAATAAGGGTTTGACAACTATCAGTTATACATGTTGGACTAGTGATAATCTGATTGAACCCATTGGAATCTATTATTTTTAAAAGCTTATCACCTTAAAACGACTTGTTTAATATGTCGTAGTTAAAATCTCCAACTATAATATTGACTCCTTCAAAATTAGATATTCGATCCAAATAGTCAGACAAAAAATCCAAAAACTGCGCATTTTCAATCAATTCAAAGAACAGTAAACAAATATTTTAAGCCGCTAGCGACAATTTCCAGAGACAATAACCAGACATAGTTCTGAACGAACTCCATATCGCAGATCTCATATTTGATAACGTTTCGTACAAGAACCATTACCCCACCAGTTCTCCTATTTATCGTGGTACACTGCTCCAGCTGATAACCATCGATGTTTATTTCGGTATGTTCTATCTCGGCGGACACATGTGTTTCGGACAATAATAATATTTTTGGCCTCCAATTATTAATTAATATATTAATCCGCATTATTTAAGAAACCCTGACAATTAAAATATACGGCTGATGACATTAACCCGATATTATTGTGTAACTGCTATTTTATATATTTATTACGTTACAACAAATATTTTTTTCCTTACTCTACTACTCTACTTTCATCGTTCTTTTCGAACACCCTGCACGTGGGGATGCTACTCGAATCGAATTGGTGATTAGTTAGCAATGAAATAGTCAGGTATTCTTTGGCAGCTGTTTCTATCTTCCTAGCTCTCCAACAGGTTTCTTTTTTGACCCACATCACACCACATCAAGTCGAATTGTTTAATGCTGTAATTTATTATCTCGATTAAAGTGATGTTTGGTTCAGTTTTCCATCTTTCCTTGGGAACGGTGAAATAATCTTTCAATCAATTCCTGGTTATTATATGCAAAAAAACGTTCGTTTTAACGTAGAATTTCTTAATACGATTAAAATATGTTGAAAGTACTAAACTTGAATTATTAAAATCATATTATTTTTAGCAATTCAATGATTGGTAATCGAATCGAATTATATTAACATTTCTTTTTCTTGTTGTGAAAAGTTTGCACTAGAAAGTGCTAATACTTTTCGACGTTATCGCAATGAAAAATGATATTCAAAACTGATGAATGAAGATGAATGTACTCAAGAATTTGATTTTGCAGCCTTAAAACAGATCCACTATTTTAGATGATGAATAGGAAATATTTGTAACCACGTGTTAAATTTTATCGATCTGTTAGCTGTTAACTCTATAGTACAGTATAGTATAGTATACCACGAACTAGTACACTAAATAATATAAAACAAAAGTTATTTGCAATGTAAAAGTCGACAACGTTAAATGGCGTCGCGTCATTTGTAAAGTGTATCTCGGAAACAACTTTTCCTATCAAAAATGCGACGCCACAATAAGATATGTATATATGGATAAAGGGGAAATAAAAAGGGTCACTCACCACTTGAAATTATTGCGACAGACTTCCACTTCATTTCGTCTACTACCCTCGCAAATCCTGCGGCTATTTCGGGAGCTGAAGGGATTTGAAGGTCTCCTTCGACATTTTTCAGTCGCTGAAAGGAATATATTTTTCACGTTCAAATATTATAACTTTACCGAATCGACGATTTAATATATATTTCTTTAATAATCTTAAAATTAAAAAAGGTATATAATATACGTTTAACGTATATAATATACATAATAATAATAATATATAATATATATTTATTAAGATAAAATAAGAATTATATTGGGAACTAACATTAAAATTAAGTGAAACAAAAATTTAACTTTACCAAAACATTCTCGACAGGCACAGTACGATATAATAAATCTAAAATTAAATCCAGGAAACCTATCATTAAAGGTCATATATGAAATGAAAATGCAAAAGAAAGGGTTTACATAGTGCTATCAGAAATTTACTCTGACTGAGCCTGGGATCGTTTTAGCCTACCGTAGGTAATGTTGACATCATCCCTATTCCTTATATTATAGCTGTGGATATCTTTCGTCAAGTAATATTCATCTACATAGGCTTTTATACAGAGCAGATTCTTAAGGACATGTACCGACGGAAAGTCATATCCGCTACCAGTCTAATCGTCCTTCTTTGTAACGGTATTAATCAATTATATATATCTTAACTTAAATTGGTTTGGATGTTTTTTTAGCCTTAGCAAGACTAAGACCAAAATATTTTTATAAATGAGTTAATAAGTTTTTCAAAAATTGTTTTCGTATTTCGCATTAGCAATAATTTAGGAACTCTTTAAAATATATTTCATATCTGATTACAAATAATATAGCATTGAAATTACACTGGATGTTTCTAAAAATTTATCCGAAAAAATAACCTTAGTTTGGTTAATTGTATTGTTTCAGAAAGAGTTTGATTTGATCATAAAAGTTACTTCCGGCAAACTTTAATTTTCAAAGCAATGTTGCTTTTACTTGTTTTATTAATTCAGTCAGTCTTACTTGCGAAAACCTCAAAAAACTCACTTGACTTTAAACAAGATTGCCTTCTAATGGCAAATTATATTAAAAAAGTAAAAAATATATAGAAATCTAGTAGCGCAATATACGACGCGACTGTCCTCACAAGAGAGGCATTTTCACACTTACGGATTAACCAAACTAACGTGACTTTTTAATATTCTATTTAGCATAGAAATTGTTTAAGATATTTTCGCCATGTTGGGCATTACTTTCTTAAGTTAGTAAATATATTTAACGCCAAGTCGTTAGGCCCCACCCATTCCACATTCATTTCTGTGATTCACCGAGCGCTGCCGATTGATCTCAGTAGTCGTGATCATGCGGGGTAGACGAGGCGAGAGAAATGCGACGAAGTCGAAGAGCGTATTATTTTTGTGCTCTGTTTCTTTTGTAATTAAAAAGTAAAATAAATAAATGTGAACAATACACAGTCCACTTAATCAGTGAGGAGGTTATAGGCTCGACAGAATCGTTAAATAAACCCAACATAATTTAAAGGAACGTTTTTTGAAACACCCTATATATTTAAATTTAAACTCATCAGTATAATCAAGGAATTGGGACAACCAAACTAACCAAACAAACTTGTAGAAATTGAACTTGTGAATGAATTAAACTAACCAAAACTAATACAATAAACTAACAATAAATCAAGACATTTAAAAAAAATCAAACAATTATGGAAAAAATATTTATATTTGTATATTAGGATCTGTATTTTATCAACGCTTAAAACGTGAAGAACTCGGTTTGAGACTTTCGTTTCAATTTTAAAAGACGGGCTGGCTAGCAAAAGGATCGTGTTTTCGGTTTGAAAAAGTTTCCGCCTAGAAATTAACGTCCCAAACTTGAAAGTTTGGGCGTGGGCCGCGAGTGAAAGCCGCGTTCTAGACAGAGTAAATGGATTTATTCCGAGTGGAAAGTTCATGGTCGGAAATTTTTATCCAGCACTGATTTAAAGGGCCGAAACTAAATCGGCTGTGCAACCACAGGCACTAATATCGTTCGAAATTGTAATGAAAAGCCGTAAATCAGTAACATTTGCGGTATTGCCTGCAAAACCAACCACAACAACTATTTTACGAAATTAAAACTTTTGAAAACTATCTGAGTTTTATTAAAATTTCCATACATTCATGCCCATACGCAAAATAAGTGCTTACGTAAGTTAAGGTAAATCAGCTTAAACAACGGGAAAATTAATTAAAATTTAATTTAATTGTTACAGTGTGTCCCACTTAAGAAACACATTTTGTTTATGGTTCGATTTTGATTTTTTTTATTGGGTGGGTCTCTGAAAAAAGCACTAAAACCTTGTTTTGCTTATTGCTTCAACTTAAAGTAATAGCCAACTGAGACCACTTAAAAAGGGAGAGAGGAGAGGGAAATACTATTAGGGATTTTTTTCAAAAACCGTTGACAACGAATTCTTATTCAGTACTTAGAACCCAACTATCTCCATTTTTATATGTTTCAATACAGGGTGTTTGAAATATCATTTGCGCCCCGCTTAAGGCACATCGTTGCAAAATCTTTGATTACGGTTTGATTTTGATTTTTTTTGTTGGATAAATCTCTCAAAAACGCACTAAACCCTTAAGTTTCCTATTACATCAACCTGAAATCATAGCTTACTATTAGGGATTTCTTTCAGGATTACGTCAAACTTAAACTATAGTAATTTGCATGAAGTTCGAATAAAGGCACTAACGATTTTCTTAAAATTTAATATGATTAGAGACGTATTATATATGAACTAAAAATTGTTTACAATGCTGTATTTTTTAATTAAAAAGGATTTTTAATTCCCATCTAATAATGAAAATAACAGAAATATCAAAATTGATTGACGTCAAATTCACTCGATAATTTATATTTTAATTTTGTTTACATCTTTCGAATACTAAGATTTATTAATACTGTTGTTAAAAAGCCATTGTTATCATTATTATTGAAATTTGTATGTGTTTTTTAAAACATTCAAAACTTTGGTCATTGATCTAGCTACTTTTAGGTAGTCCTGAAAACGAATTTATTGGCATTTTCAATTTCAAAAAAATCTCTAAAAGTACTTCTCGATTTTCCGCTTCAAAAAACTGTCACTTAGCCATGACTTTAGTCATAGCTATACGAAAAAACCGTTTCATTTCACTTTAGTAAGATCTATCCAGCAAAAAAGAATTATCAAAATCCGACAGCAGTAATTCTTGCCCACGATATTTCGAGCTCCCTGTATAGTTAGTTTTTATGCAGTCCTGAATAAGAATTCGTTGACACTTTATTCTTAAAAAAATCCCTTAAAGTCCTTCTCGATATTTGACATCAAAAATTAGTCCCAGTTAGCATTGACTTTAAGTTGATGTTGTTTTTGAGAGATCTACCCAACAAAAAAAAATGAAAATCAAACCATAATCAAAGATTTTACAACGACGTACCGTTCTTAAGTGGGACACGTATACTCAGCAACAACTAAACTATAGCAAAGAAATAATTAACTGCAAAATTACAAGCTATTTTGGACTACACTATACACTTGATTGATATACACGGACTTTCGCTGATCGAAATACAGATAATATTTTAGCTAATATTTTATTGTTTAATTGTCGTTGCTTTCAAATTAGTGAACCCTCAGTAGCACTTGAATGCCATCTTATACAATATAATTATAGATGATAAAAATGTTTTTATTATTAAATTTAGTTGTTTTATTCTATCGAAAACAAGTTACGGAACCGAACCAGAAGCAAATAGTGTTATTAATCTGTGTCACTCACCCTGGGACAGTTCCAAGAAATGAGGGAGATATTGAAATAATCCCGCAGGAATTCAACCGGACTGCAAAGTTCAGGAGCGAATGACCCGACGACCAGTCGCGATTCAGGGGAAAAAATGCGCAGGATTTTTTCATGATCCTCGCATATATCTGAAACAAAAAACAAATGATACTTACACAGAGTTTCAATTAATTAATGATTCCTTTTTGTTTCCTCTAAATAATACGTGAAGAGTGATAATTTATCCAAGCTCAAGAAAACCTTTTAAGAAAGAAAAAATAATTGTTCCACATCGCCTCCCCAAAAAAATGAAGAGAATCTTTCGCATTAGCAATAATTTTGCAACTCTTATTTATGGAACATCAAATCCTTGTCGGTTTTGGCGCGCTGTATCTTTGATTGAAGGCGTAAGATAACAATCAAAAATTATGTGCGCCTCTTTAGTTTTATAAGAACAGATTCAGCTACTTTGCCAAATGTTTGCGGCACCGAAGATCCAATGACATGTAAAAAATAAAAGCCATCTACAACCTCAACGTCTATTTCTTTCGGTACATTTGTTTCGTCTTCAGATTTCAAAATTTTAGAGAGTACAGATTTGTCTCTTTTTATCATTTTACCAGCACATGAGAATAGAGCTGGTGGCATTGGAGGTAAATTAAGCCATGAGTCTTTGGTTAAAATAACCCCTCACCATACTTGAACCCACTTTTTTGTCTTTTTTGCTTGTCAAAGTCAATAGTTTTCGATTCTTCACTACACAAAAAAACACTTCCTCCATTTTTTATGTAAATTTTTAACGTAATACACTAGTAAATATTAGAAGCAGAAAAGGATTTTTATACACATAAAACAAATATATTAAAAACGTGGTCTCTCACCAACTGAAAGTGGGAGAATATACTTATCTTCTTGTATTACACAGAGAACTAAACACTCACCTTTCTCTTTTTTGACAGATGTTACTGCGCAGCTGCTATAATGCATCCTTCTCTGCCATTATAAAATAATGGGTGTTTTTTTTTCGATGTATAAAAGTTGGCATTACTGTTCAATATGGCGACCGATTTAACAGCTGTCAAGTGATTTATTCTCAGTTTGGTTTGGCAATTCATCATGAATAGGCTCACGCCTGAACAACGCTTGCAAATAGTGCAATTTTATTTCGAAAATAATGGTTCTGTGCGTATCGCGCATTACGTCCAGTTTATCGTCGACAAAATCGTCCATCAGAGCAGTTAATTCGATTAACCATGGAACGTTTTCGCACCACGTTTACTCTTATTGATAACAAGCATCCCCAGAGACGCCGTACAGTGCGTACAGAAGAAGCTATTGCTGCTGTAGGGCGTAGCATTGAGGAAGACCCGAATGAGTCCATCCGCTATCGAGCACAGGAATTGGATCTGTGCCCATCCACTTTATGGAAGATTTTGCGAAAGGATCTTGGTTTACGTGCTTACAAAATTCAACTCGTGCAAGAACTGAAGCCAAACGATCATCAAGTAAGGCGTAGGTTAGTCGAATGGGCCCAAAACGAGATTGCCGTTGTTCCCGATTTTCATAAGCGAATTTTGTTTAGCGATGAAGCGCACTTCTGGTTGAATGGCTACGTCAACAACCAAAACTGCCGCATTTGGAGCGAAGCTAATCCTCAAGTATATGTCGAAACACCATTACATCCAGAAAAACTGACTGTTTGGTGCGCTTTATGGGCTGATGGAATCATTGGTCCGTACTTCTTCAAAAACGATGATGGCCAGAACGTTACAGTCAATGGTGATCGGTATAGAGCTATGATTACTAACTCTTTCATTCCTGAATTGAATAACCATGATGTCCAGGAGATGTAGTTTCAACAAGACGGCGCAACATGTCACACAGCTCGTGCCACAATCGATTTATTGAAAGACACGTTTGGTGACCGCCTAATATCACGTTTTGGACCTGTGAATTGTCCTCCAAGATCTTGTGATGTATCACCGCTAGACTACTTTCTGTGGGGCTATGTTAAGTCATTGGTCTATGCGGATAAGCCACAAACGACACGATACGACCATTTGGAAGACAACATTCGCCGTGTTATTGCTGATATACGGCCACAAATGTTGGAAAAAGTCATCCAAAATTGGACGTCCAGATTGGACTACATCCGCGCCAGCCGTGGCCGTCATATGCCAGAAATCATATTTAAAATGTAATGACATAAGATTATCTTTCGGATAAATAAAATTCATGTCAATCGAATAATCCATCGTTGTTTTATTGCAACTTAAAGTTCTATACATCGAAAAAAAAAACACCCCTTATATAACGCTCACGTTTGCTCCCTATTCTCAAATAAACTTTGATTCGTGGCAATCATTATTCTTCACAGGATTTTAACTGGCAATCATATAACATTTTATTCGCAATAAATAAAGCTACAATTGCATAATTTTATGGGTACAAGAATGAGGGTGTCAGACTGAGTTTTTGTAGCAGTTCGAATGGGATAAGTTATTTGCTAACAGAACCCTTGAGGATATGGTCAAGGTGTTCTACGATGTGGTTTATTTAGCTATCGATATTTACGTTCCCTTAAAGAAGTTTTCGGCTAAGAAGTTTCCAGTTTGGTTTTCCCCAGAGCTTAAAGATACAATAATTGAGAAGGAGAAATAACATAAACGATATCTTAGGACCGGGTTATATTCAGACTGTGAAAGATTTTCAGGCTTAAGAGCTAAATGTAAATTTTTAAAAGTGCAGTGTTACCAGGAATATATATCTCTGACTGAATCGTCTTTAAGAGAAAACGTTAAGAATTTTTGGAAGTTCGTCAACATTAAAAAGGACTTTATTCCATCGGTTGTACACTTTGGCGACGTGAGCGTGCTCTGTTCTGTCAATTTATTTGCAGACTATTTTTCGAATATGTATAGTGACAAGGACTGTGTCTCTAAAGATGTACTATCTTCCGGAGATATCACCCTCTCACACTTGAACATTTCGATTTCATCTATTTACGAGAAACTCTCGACTCTAGACAAAAACGTAGAATCCAGTCCCGATGGCTTCCTACCATATTTTATTAAGCATTGAAGTTTCATACTTTCCAGACCACTTTATATTATCTTTAACCATTCTTTAAAAACGAGAACTTTTTAAAACTACTGGAAATCAAGCTTCATTACCCCTATCTTAAAATCCGGCGACAACTCGCCAGTCAACAATTATAGGCCCATCAGTATCCTGAGTTGTATTCCTAAAGTGTTCGAAAGTTTAGTATGTGACTATTTATCTGCAGGCCTGAAAGGTTGCTTCATCGACCAACAATTTGGATTTCTCCCCCATCGCTCCACTGAGCTAAATTTGCTTACATTTACAGATTTTCTGCTGGAATCATTGGGGTGGGGGTCTCACGTTTATGCCATTTACACAGACTTTTCAAAGCATTTGATTGAATAAATCATCAAATCTTAATAAAAAAAATTGCGAAACATTGGAATCCAGGGAAAACTTTTGGAATGGTTAACATTGTACCTTACTGAAAGAGTGCAGATTGTGCGCGTCCAAAACTTCCAATCAATCGAAATTAAAGTGCCTTCTGGTGGTCCACAAGGATCGCACCTGGGACCCCTACTCTTCAATGTCTATGTGAATGATATTACGTCATGTTATCATCACGCATTTTTCCTATTATTTGCTGACGACTTAAAATTCTATATGAGAGTCCATAATGCTGTATAAAACTCCAATCCGATTTAGATCAATTATCGCTATGGTGCAATTTGAATGGAATGGAACTCAATATTAATAAATGCCAACTACTGAACTTCTACCGGAGCAGAAACCCCATGCATTTTACGTATAACATGAAAGGGTCACCGTTATTGCAGGCCTCCGTAATAAGGAATCTTGTAGTGTTACTCTAAGTTTACACACCATGTTTCATTTATTGTGTCTAAATCAGTTCAGATTTTGGGCTTTATTAAGCGTTGAACAGTGGACTTCCAGATTACTGTTCTGCTCCCTCGTGCATCCACACCTGGATTATTGTTCCTATGTGTGGTCACCTTCGTATAATGTCCACATACAGACCATCAGAAGAGTGCGGTATATAGCATTTAAGGAGCACCAAGGACTTGAGGACGTTGATTACTCGGAATTGGAAAACTCTTCAACTTACAACTTTTCAGATTCGTCGCATGCATAAGGATCATGCATTCATGCCCATGCCCATGGACCTGAGCTGTTATGTAAGATTGGGCTTCGCGTCCCCCACCCCCCCGGGGCGCCAGACCTTCCAGGTCGAGTTCCATCGTACTATGGACAGAGTTCTTTTCTTACTAGGTCAGCTGCACTAGCGAATCGCTTTTCGGATCTGCTTCCAGGTTGCAAGAATATTTAAAAAAGATCTTAAAGACTGTCAGTAAAACTATTCCGCTATTCTTCGCAATAGTACTGTATAACATTGTATTGGTGCTTCTATATTGTTATATATGTACTTACTGTCGTGTCGACTAACTATACTAATATTAATATTTTGGAAAACCAATGTTTGTCATATTAGGGTATGGTCTTCACCTATCTATTGCATTCTCTTTTAATTTTGTATTATTTTATTTTATTTTGTTGTTTACTATTTTGTTTATGTAAATCCTAGTTTATATTGGGCGGTTGGCCCGTTGATAAATTACCTGTTTTACACCTGGTTGCCACGTATTAATGACAGGAAAAATCAGGGGGGTTTATTCTACATGTTATTTACTACAGATTTTTACTAAATTTATTTGGTATAAGAATAACAGGTGAGAAATAAAAAAAGATAATTAAATAATTTTTTATTAAAAATAGTGTTGACAGGATATGGACTGGCAATCAGTCGGGGACTTATTTGTTAAGAAATTTTATTATTAAAAAAATATGTTTCATCTGGTATAGCGATGAGGACATATTTTTTCCAGTGGGATCTAAGACTATTAGTAAAATTGCGAACTTAATACGTGTCAGACTTCAGACTGTGAGGCTTACTTGGCCCTCTATTGTTCGCAATTTTGTATATGATATATATCCCCTTGCTCCTTACCTATTTTCCCTTTTTGGAGATGAAGCTTTTTCTGTTCTTTATGATGCATCGTGTGAGGCTCTAAGGAATGCAATTAACGCA